TTCGCTTCGATGTCGATTTTTTTTACTTTTGCGGCGACAGAAAAGGCTTCAGCCAATCACATACAAGGAAACAAAGGTGAAGCTTGTTGACGCTTTGGCCGCTCTGACGTGGCAGCATTATGTGCGAGTGAAGAGAAGTGTCACAACATGAAATGTAAACTAAAAACAAGCAATACATTAAAACTAGAAACCTTTTATAATGACAGCATTTTTATATTGCCTATTCCGCATCTCAACGCACGCATACCCTATCATTTATGACATGACGGTGTTTCTTACCAGCAAAAGAACGAGGCATGGGATAAAATAGCTGGGATATATAGCTGCTGATGATTTATAATATTTTTGACTAGGAGGGAAATAATTGATGTAGAATATTTTCAACATTCATGGTTGTGTGTTTCATATTATTTTTGCATGCATGTAGGCCACACACCAGAGCATGTGCGTAAATATAGCGGAGCGGGGTGACGCTTAATATGCCTATAAGTTAAAAAACTCAAACATATGTTTCATATATACGTTTAAATAATATAATGATATATTTATTTATTTTTTCATCTATGTTGATAGCTATATGAAAAGGGAACCGCATGAGATGAGTATAAGGATCATAAGATGCCCAATATATCGAAAACATTTAAAATGGGTCAGACATAATTTTGGCCACTTATGAAGTTTTGTTTTGTAGAAAGCCTTTCTTTAAAGTGAATTTAGTTTTGTATAAATTGTGTCTTAATTTTAATCAATGTTTCATCAACAAATTGCCTGGATTAGGAATAAGAAGCAAATATAGTAGACAATAGGACACGGAGGCGCCGGCGCGTGAACTTGAGCGCGTCTCATACCGAAAACTGACAGAAAACACTAGTTTATTAATAAACAATTCAAATGTTTAATGCATAATCCTTACTTTGGACGGTTCTTTGTGGCAAAGTTTTAGCTACTTTACAAGATTAGCATACTCCCCTTCAGACTCTCTGTTCTTTAAGATTGGGTGCACACAAAACCTTTTTTTCTGTCTTTTAAAGAAAACGAAAAGCTCGTCTTCACTGGATGATGATGATGATGAAGTGTCCGTGTTTTCTCAGCTGTCGGCGCGAAAGTTTTGGAATGTTGAAGCTCTGAACGTCGCAAATTCGCGTCGCGGCAGATGTGAATGGTTTTGACGCGAACTATTCGCTTTTCCGTTTCGCTTTTTCGTTACGCGTCCGTTGTGAAAGGGCCTTTATCCTGACTTTTCTGACCTGTGCTGCCAAGACCAGTATCCTCCAAAGAAACAGTTCCTTGAAAATGTATGCATTCAAGCTGTTTCTCCGACAAGAAGATACAAGTTGAGGTATTGCATCATACATTAGTTGACATTAACCCTGTAATTTTGAGGTTTCCCACCCTTTTCTGTTACTCTGTAATTTGCTCCTGAAATAGCACACACTGAGGCCATGGTGTGTCAGCAATGCTAAATTCATCGCCGCGTGGAGACGAGACAATCCGAGAGGTTACAGTCTCTGCTGACTTTCCCTTTCTAAACTCAATGTCTCTTCGCATTAATTGTGAAGGGCTTGAATGAGAGTGGTGGCATCTGTCAGCATTTCCTAATCCCACTGCTCACTTTGCTGAAATATTTCTGTTCTAAGCTGCTTAACCGAGGTGGTCGTGTTCGGCTTAGCCTCTTAACTTGAAGTCGCATACCTGTGTGTTTGCATAGCACCTGCGCACACACACACATACTTTATTATTCATTGATGGATCAAGTTAACAGTGAGATTCCACTGAAAGTTTTGTGCAAATATTTGTCTTTCATGTTTTCTTTGCAGCTGGATCTACAGTTGCACCAAAAAGTATTTGGTTACTTACCAAATTTAAAATACATTGCATATGTAATTTCATTGCATTTGATAGCAAAATATTTAACCAAATTGCATTTATTTAAAAAAGATAACACAAGCATACCTTTTATAAGAAAAACATTTCACAAAAAAAACCTTATTAGGTTTTAATTTGTAATAATAATAAAAAAACTATTGTTCAAAATAAAAACAGAAATGTTGACACTTTCTAGTTGTCAGTTAGTTAATTGTTTATGTGATGGTCTACACATGAACTTGAGGAGAACTGTCTTTATACAACATCAGTTGGGTCAATGTCTATGCAAAAATGACTCAAAGAAAAGTCTGTTCTGAGGAAAGGTCTAGCACTTGGTTTGATATTTCGTAATCTAAATATAATAATTGTTGCATTTTTAAACAAATAAGTAGCCCAAATATGAACATTGACAATTTACTCGCCATCATGATTTTCCAAACCCTTATGATTTACTTGGAACTCAAAAGGAGATATTCTGAAACGTGCACCGGCCTTACTTCTCCATGCAATTGCAATGAATGGAAAGACTAAACCCTTCAAGCGTCAAAAAAGATACGGAGGAAGGAAGGAAATTCATACATGTTTGGAACAACATTATAAAGACTTGTCAAGATGTTTGTTTGTATGGCCTTACACTGATATCTACTTTATTGGATTTGCATTGTTTTATTTTATGCTGAATCATAGCAGCACTAGAGGCTTTGTTCATTGACCTATCATATAATTTCATGTTTATTGCCTTTTATCAGCTAAGCTCACATATCATCACATAACACACACAACAACACGCATAACACCAGTGAATGGAAAAATCCTTTTAAAAGTAGTTTGCATTTGTAATCTTGGAAAGTTGAATCACAACATGACCAATGGGCTCTATGCACGGCGGTATTTCCGGTGAAGGTCTAAGGATGCTGGATTACTTCCGCCGATCGTAGAGTCCAATGCTATACCGAGAATTTATATTGGTTTTTATACTCAATTGCTATACTAAAGAAACGTTAGTCACAAAAACAGACAAAACAGACACTCCTCATTTTGTTTATGCTTCTGTGTTTATTATATTAAATAAACATAACTATATATAAAATTACATCTAAACGTATTAAAGTTTCGTTTCAAAGACGAGAGGACAGTAAATTTTGAAGACTCTGCCATAATCCCGTTTTCCTTGGTTTTTCTCCGCTTTAAATCTCCCCAACCGGAAACGCACGAGCATCCTTGCGTCAAACCCGGAAGTTATGCGTGCATATAGCCCATTTTAAAATAAATAGATTGTAATAATATCTGAGTGAAAATCTCATTCTTCTGGGGGGAAAAAATAACTTTTAGACTTTTGGTAATCTAACTCTGCATAGATATGTTAATATATTGATTGTGAACTAATTATTGTATCATTTCTAATGGAATTGATACAATCCTAATGTACAGTAGTATAGTGATATGGAGGACGCCTCATATAGTTACATTTGCATTGTATTGCATATGTTTGGTGAAGTAAGGTGGCCTGTCAGTGACCTGTTTCGTGCTTTATCAACACTTATTTTTATAAGGCTCTAGTGGTGCCATATTCTTATTGTTTTATTATTATTATTTCCACTGAAGTATATTGCAGTCCTATCTTTAACCCTGATCTGATTGTACCTTTATTTGGTTTGATCACAGACCAATTTCACTTATTGCTCTATTAAAATACTGTATTTGTTTGCAGTCAAATTATTTGCAATGGTTTTTTAGGATTACGTTTTTTAATAAAATGTGTATTGTGCTATTTAGTCTGTTGATCTGTAATTACTGTATTGGTTAATTTGGTTAGAACAAGCATTCTTGTTGTTTGTCCTTGGTCTGACTCTATACAGGCCCCTAAAAAGGGTAATGAACCAGAAGATCTTTTGTTAGTCCGCACTCACACAGTGAAAGTGAGTTTTTTTTCCCTGAAGTTTTACCACAAGGCTGCAGTGATCCGTTATGACCACAAATCAAAATTCAGCCTTCAATATTGACACTGTCAGTTTTCACTGTGAGCCATTCTTTTGGTCGTCCATTTCCATGTTATTTTCTTTTCATTGTCACGCAGCAGAAACATGATGGGAAGTTTGTAAGACGCAGTTCAACTAGGTCATCTCACCATGGCAACAACCAATCAGGGACCAGCTTCTTTATCCTCAGCGGTGTATTTAAAATTTTTTTTTTAGTTGATTTTCCTTTTTTTGCATAGATGCAAACACAGTCGTTACATCATCGGCTAAGAGACGCTTAGCTCTCATGTACTGTAGTGACAGATGGACACCATGAGAAAAGGGAGGGAGAAAGAGTGAAATGCATTTTATCTCTCAGCAAAGGTGTGGGACTTCACTTCACCAGCAACGCAGAAGCAGCCGGGCTGTGACCATTTGGAGTTTGTCCAGTCTTATGAACCACAAACTGGGATAAAGATAACAGAAGGAGTGGTCTGACCTGTGAACCATTAAAAAAAACCATAAAACCAGTAATGACGCAAGAGGAGGTGAAGATTTGTTGGATATCAGCTTGTGCCAATGGCGATTATGACTCTGTTTGGATGAAGAATTTAATGATTACTCAGTCGATCTGATTTCTGTGGAATACTCCAGTTGTGATATCAAGATTACGCTTGGAAGTTCTCCAAAGAAGAGGAATGGAGACGTGAAAGATAAGGACCCAAACATTCAAAAGCCTTTCCTGGTTAGCGAACCATCTACTCATCTATTATTCCGCTAGTGTGCGTGTGTTTGCATTGGCTAACATGAGCTTGTTTATCAGGGTGTGTCTTTATAGATGTGCCCAGGTAGGTTAAAATGGCTTTGTGGGGTTTAAAAGCAGGTGTGCATTAGTCAGCCCTCCCTCATCCTCTCTCGGGCGAGATTGGGCGATGTGAGAGGCCATCTCATTTGCCGATCAGATCACGGACAGATTATCAGCCTAAATGAGCATTAGAAGAAGCTCTGATGCATCGGAATAACATGTACTGAGCAGTCTTGCCATGTAGAAGGCATTTTCCTTGTGAATACAGCGAAGAACTGGCGAGAAAAGAAGCAAAAGGCAACTATTATTGGGGAACTTTATTCCAAAACTGTTTTTTTTGGATTTGTCCTACTTTTTGGACTTCAATTTGACAAAGACTCACCATTACACATGCACAGCGCAGTAGAGCTGATATCACGACTGTAACTTCAACCAGAAGATAGTGTTCTGTGCCGGCACTGACCCTGAAACGAGATCAGCCGGAATGTCTTTTACAGGTTACTCCATCTCTGTCTCTGACTGAACGTTTTGGCGGACCGGTTCGTGACGCTTTTAGTCAGCACCACCATGTATGTGCTGTGCACCCTGGTGTTTCTGTCTCTACATAGCCTGTTTAGGAGACCCAGGGACCTGGAATCCTCTGAACCCAAGGCGAGTGAGGGCCCTGAGCAGCACAGACAGGATTTAGCCAAACTGAGACGCAAGAAGAGGAACAAGCACCCCTCGCCTGGAAGTTCTGGAGCATTAGAGACCTCAAGAGTCCTTAGACAGCATGACTTTGAAAGATGCCTGGATGGACCCTGCAGAGCAAGTAAAAGAAGATCTTTTCACCTGGATAATGTGCACGAGAGGAGGAAGAGAGGACAGGTGAGATTGAAAGATCAGCACAGTTTGAGGTTGATCTTCAATGTTGTTTACTTTGCTGATACATGAAGATCACCGTTCAATCAAGCTTATTTAAGGTTATTGTTGTTTTTGACTGATCTGCCATGGAAAATCTCCATTTAATCCAAAAGGTGCTTATTTATTCATTGAATTCTTCTCATTATTTATGAGTGTTGTATTATTGATTAGGTAAAACATCAGATTCTTTGATGGTTCAAGGTTTAAGCTGAGCTTGAATGTTATTTCAGTATGTCTAGAGCTATTTTAGCCAACTGGATGTGTTTCAAAACGCCTCATCCCTTATCCAATTGCTTTTTAGTAGTTTTGTGCGATCAGCTGCTTCTAGAGTAATTCAGAATGTGAATGGCTTGTAAATATCAGTATGTTTTTTTGCAGTGTACATGGGGGATTTTCTTGTACCTGGAATGATTATTATCATCCTGTCCCTCTGCTGTCCCGTTTCTAATGTTCTTTGTTGTCCCGTTTTAGCAGATAAAATCCTGAGTGGTTATGTAAGCAGTGGGTTAATCGTAGAGCTCCCTGTCCTCTTTAATCGTAATTTAATTCATACGTAATGCACTCAATCTACTGTTCTCTTCCCTCAATGTTCTTTGCTTTCCCTTGTTGGATCAGCAGAAATCTCTCCTAGCTGGAATTGGTTTTACTGAACGCTTATTCCACAAGTACCATCAATTCTAGGAAAAATCCTTCATTGGTTGCAGTGCTCCCCTCGCCAATAGATGGTTTCATGAAGAACCTTTACCATCCATGGAACCTTTCCATTGCACAAGATGTTTTTAGTGGAAAAAAGGGTTCTTATGGTTTTGACATTTTTTTTTAAAAAGAAATATGGTTCTTTTAAAAACTGTGCACTTAAAGGGTTAGTTCACCCAAAAATGAAAATTCTGTCAGTAATTACTCGCCCTCATGTTGTTCCAACCCCGTAAGACTTTCGTTCATCTTCGGAACACAAATTACGATATTTTTGATTAAATCTGAGAGCTGGATCACTCCTCCATAGGCTTCTTAAGGGATCGAAACTGGCCGGCCCAAAAGTTATGAAAGACATCGTTAAAATAGTCAGAGTGACTACAGTGGCTCAACCTTAAGTTTATCAAGCGACGAGAATACTTCTGTGCGCAAAAAACAAACAAAAATAACTTGACTTAACTAAAAATGACTTTATTCAACTATTCATTTCCTTCGCTGTGGGCCTTGAGATTTCACGTAGTGATATTGCACAAAGCTTCTAGGTTGTACGTCACACGCATCACACACATGACCAGCGTCGGCCAATAGTGAGCCTACGTGTGACGTACAACACAGAAGCTTTGCGCAATATCACTACGTGAAATCTCAAGGCCCACAGAGAAGGAAATGAATAGTTGAATAAAGTCGTTATTTTTGTTTGTTTTTTGCGCACAAAAAGTATTCTCGTCGCTTGATAAACTAAAGATTGAGCCACTGTAGTCACTCGGACTATTTTAACGATGTCTTTCATAACTTTTGGGCCGGCCAGTTTCGATCCCTTAAGAAGCCTATGGAGGAGTGATCCAGCTCTCAGATTTAACCAAAAATATGTTAATTCGTGTTCCGAAGATGAACGAAAGTCTTACGGGGTTGGAACAACATGAGGGCGAGTAATTACTGACAGAATTTTCATTTTTGGGTGAACTAACCCTTCAAAAGGTTTTTTCGGGAGCCCAAATGGTTCTTGTTTGGCATTGCTGCAAAAAACAAACAAACGGAAAACAATTTGGAGCCTTTATTTTTAAGAATGTAAAGAACCCTTTTCCACTATAAAAAAACATTTGTGCAATGGAAAGGTTCCATGGATATTCCTTGGTCTATGTAGGTAAAAGCAACTAGGTCAGTTCCACATTTCATAAGACGTACAGTACGTTTCAGGGCTGTCAAATTAATTGATTAATTAATTGAAATATTCATCTTATTTAAAATAAAAATCCACATTTGAAAGCAAAATCGGTGCATTCGAATTGTAGGTGTGCTTCAGACAGCCTTATTCGTGGCGCACGAGATACGATGAGAATGTAACAGATGTAAGAAGACTCGAGACTTTTTGGGGTTTTTTCCATTCCACTGCATCTCATGTTTTTATACGCTAAAACTCTGTGTGATCTGTGCTTCGGCTCTTTGTATTAAACTATGTATAAATACATGATGCTGTTTTGTTCATAATTGTTTATACAATTTACAAAATTATATTTGATTTATAAACGTTATTTTAAAAGTTATGCTCTTTTTTTGTACAGACAGTTATGTAATCTCATTGCTTTCATAAACAATTTAATGCGGTGCATTAATATTTTCCTCATTGCGCCGACTAGTGCCCTCAGGAGACAAGCCAAAAGCTTCTCTCCACCTAACTGAAATTATGCCTTTTAAATTTAAATATAATTTGAATATTAATATTTAAGGATAAAATATGAATTTTGTTTTTCAGCCATTTTGGCAGCCCTTGTGCGTTTTGCAATCTAAACATTGCCACAAATGACGCTCTCATTACCATAAACTGAGAGCTTAATGGAAAGCTTTGTCTTGCATCAGTATCTGTTTGAAGAGAATCTTGCTCAGCAAGTGTTTATGACTAGATGTCAGAAAAACATTGTCATAGATACTGAATTTGACAGGATCTATCGCTTGTGGTGTAAAGCACAGCAAGACTGAACATTTTCAATGTGTTGGCCAAGCTACTTTTATAGAGAATGTTTCAGGCCATAATGGTATTCTGGGACATCACTTTTGCAGTATTGTCATAATCATTAAAGTTAATGAGAGATTTTTTGTTGGGAAACCAGATGTAGCTCAACTATCAGTACTTTAAAGGGATAGTTCACCAGTCTTTCACTCACACTCAAGTTGTTCCAAACCTGAATGAATTTCTTTCTTCTGTTAAACACAAAAGAAGATATTTTGAACAATGTCAGTAACCAAACAGTTCATGGGGCCCATTGACTTCCATAGTATTTTTTAATGTCAATGTGGCCCATCAGCTGTTTGGTTACTCATATTCTTTCAGCAGAAGAAAGAAATTCATACTATCCCTTTAAGTGCTCAGTACTCACTTTTGCAATGAGTTTCAGGGTGTTTTGTTTGACGTGCCCACAGCCAGTGATCAGAATGGCAGTATTGGATTATCATTAACAGGGCTTGTGTCAATGCCTGGGAAAAATCCTGAGCTGACACTGCACTTTTTCAGACATTAATTAGTAAACTTTTAACGCACACATTCTTCCTACAGACAGCTGACAACATTTTAGTATGCTTTGAATGGATGGCTTTTGCTATCCTTTGGAAATGGTTTCGTAATGCTGACTTGACCATAAACCGATTTGTGCTCTGAAGAGCAACCGCTCTTGCAGTGTTTATCAGCTAGTTATTCATATTCCTCTATTCTATTCACATTCGCTATGTACCAGCTCAAGTTTGCGTTTGTAACCCAGTTACCTAGTAGTGCCTCAGAGTTTGGTCTCACGGGAGCAGAAGAATGGTGTCAGTGTAGTTGCTGAGAGACCCGTCAATTAATACACCACACAAATGAGTGAGCAATTTCCTGTGACCAGCTTAAAGACAAGTATGTTTGTTTATTTATTTATTTTTTGTTATTAGTGCTTTGAATTTGATGCATAGAACATGATTTTTTGGAAGTAATGCAAAAATATTCAGAAAGATATTATTGTGTTATTATGAACATTCTTATAATTTATTCAGCTTTATAGTAAGTTGAACTCTTCTATGATCATATTTCTTCATAGTTCATATTTCACATTTTTTGGTGGGGCTTAATAGCCAGAAATATCAGGCTGATGCTACTAATCACTTTATACTGATAACTGATCATAATGAAGGCTTCATGAAAAGAAGACTTTAAGTAGTTTGTTTCAATCTTTTACTACTTTTTCTAGAAAAATACCTTGTCAAGACAATTATCGACAATATTAATGTAATAAAAATAAAATAATATAAAGGCATGTGGTTCATCCAACAAGCAGAAAACATAAAATGGGAAATTATGTCTTTGTGACCCTCATGACTGTCAAGGTCAATATGTCTCTTAAAATATTAGATAATTTGACCATTTAATAAGAAGGAAATTTAGTTCAGAACTTCAGATTGTACATTGTCATGTGTTGCAACTTCCCAAAATCTGAATGATATTTATGAACTAATATTAATTAATGATATTTATAAAATAAAAATCTTTGAATGTTGTGTATACACACATATGCTCAAGGAGTAAGGCAAACGTTATTTTTTTTACTTCATAATTGACTAAATAAAACTTCTTAAAGTGGTATTTTTTTTCAAAACCAAATGAAACTGGAGTTTGTTTAAGCATTTTAAACACATTTTTCCTTTCTTTCCTTTATCTGTTGTTTGTTATGTATTCCTGTAGCACAGCTGATACTGACTCTAGCACCAAGGTTGGGTGTTCAATTCTTTATACCTAAAATCCACTGAAAGATGAACACATTTAATGAATAAATGTAAAATATTTCAGTGTGCCAAACAGTAGGCAGACACAAATGTTAGTGCAGTGAAAAGCAACACCACGCTACATTTGCATGCTAAAATATTTATTTCAGTGGCCAGTCTGGTGATGGAGAGGGAGGAGGGAACTGTGGGATAGGAGGGGAAGGAGGGCAGAAGCGCGGGGTGTGTGTGTGTGTGTGTGTGTGTGTGTGTGTGTGTGTGTGTGTGTGTGTGTGTGTGATGCAGCTCGGATTCCACCGTTACCAAGGAACAGCGGCAGGAAAAACGGCGTTGGTGTCAGTACGAGAGTGTGTGCGAGGAGAGAGGAGCTGCGTGTGTGTGTGTGTGTGTGTATGACACAAAGAGAGCAAGAGGGACGGCTTAGCTGAGATCGGCGACGTGTGTATGTGTGTTTAAATGAGTGTGTGCTCACACTCCAAATAAAATCTAAAATGATGAAGGCATGAGCGACACCAGGATACCGCAGG